ATGTATGTATAGCCTACTGATATTGGGTCCATTTAGTGGTTCTTATATGTATATGTGCTTAGGGCTGACCACTTAGGATTGGATAATCTATCAGAATGTTCATCCCTTACTTGCCCTCAATCAGCAGCCATTAATTGCCTGGAAATCTTCATCTTTAATGATTCTTCATGCTTTGTCAGGTTTTATATTTTTAAGGAAAGAACAAAATTAAATCAGAAAGAAAATTTCTAAATAAAATACATTCAGAAGTGTATATTTCTTTTAGGCATTTATTTTTTAATTATTATAAGCTCAAACAATAATCATAGTCACTTTATTGCCAGTAGTGCAGAGTAAATTTAGTTAATGATATTTAGATATTTAAAAGTACTATACTCACTTTAATATTGTAAATATTAAATATATTCTCTTCTTCATTGTTTTCATAAAAATAATGTGTACAATGTATAGCTTTGGTTACTTACCAGTAAACTATAAATTTTTAATTCATTATGTCATAAATTGATGATGTTATTTATAATTAAACATTCTACTAAAAATGACTACTAAAAATGTCACATATTTGAACATCATTTGGCATTGTCAGAAAAAAAGATGAGACGTACGTTTCCAGGAGCCACTGTCTTCAAATATTATGAATTTGAGAACAAGATGGCAGGTATCAGTTATGGGAACACATCTATAGCACAACTTAAAAACCCTGGGAAGGAGCTTATTGCCACAGCCCTTGATTACTTCCCAGAACTTGAAGGTAAGATCCTACTGTTGACAATAGGACATACTTCAGACACAGGACTTGGAACAATGGAGCCAGAACTGAACTGGAGGCATTCTCCTTGAAGAAAAGCTTTCATAGTTCTAGAGGATACTATACAAGCTGCTAAGGGAGAAAAATAAGCCAGTGGTTCAGCCCAGCTCTAAAACCTAATAACCACAATGACTGGCACAGTGAGGACCTTTATTGGCATCGTAATCTAGGGGATATTCAACAGCTGTCTAAGTGGACCTTAAGCCCTCTCTATGGGAGGGAACTCATGGGTGGCACTGTAAATATAACTAAATACACATGACTGGAGGAGTCATAGATCCTAGAGAAAACTCTAGCTCTGTCATATCTCTAGAAAAATAACATTTCTTACCATATGCTAAATATGAATCCTTACATTTACAGACAAATGTACCATACAGAACTCGTCAAAGAAGCTTCTTTTGGCAAAAGATGGAGGCTATTACAGAGTTCCACAACTGGTCACACAGAGATAATATATGTCTGTGATATGCCCAGCCATAACTGACACATCTGCAGTAGAATATCTATATATCTCTATAACTAAGGCTCATGGAACAGAGTGGAACATGGGTAGGGAGAATACTAATAAATTCCTCACTTCTGACCAGCAAAGCTTCCTCATAAGGCAGAGTGTGGTGCACACAGAAGGCCACACCTAGATAAGTTTTAGAGAATAAGAGACTGTAGAGTGCATGTCAGGACTCCTATATTAAACCTCACCCACCCACAGCTCAGAGCCTATTTCAGAAGAGGCGGTGGCAAGATTGTAAGATTAGGGGTTGGGCTTTAACATAAGGAAACAGGCTTTAAGGCCACTGGAAACTTATTCATATGAACTTGAAGAAATGTTGACAGCATGCACAGGAACCATGCCAACTCAATCAGATAAAAGCCAGCATAGAACTAGGAAAATGGGCAGCAGGCCCCAACCCCAGCCAAGGAACTATTGGCAAATGATGACTATGGAGTGAGGGAGAGTAGATCTTCTTTAAGGGAGTGACTCTAGATATGCTGACCAGACTCCAGTGGAAGAACTTGCATTGAGGGACACTTGATAGAAATGCTTCACTGAATAGGACTTAAACCATATGACAGAGCACCTGAAATCTAGTGGGGGTCTATGAAGGGTAGGGAGGGGGAGGAAGGTCTAAATTTGATTAAGATGTGTTATAGGTAATGCAGAAAAACTCAATAAAAATATTTAAAATGAAAAAATCTGGGTGGAAAATACATAGGAATGCATGTGATATAGGAGTGTTTTGCAGTATATCTTATTAATTGCCACACACAAGCAACTGAGAAAAGTGAGTTCATGCTATGAAGAAGAAAAAAAAAACAAGCTTAGAAACTTTATTTTAGTTAAAAGCCACAGGGTCTGATATGGCTTTTATGTTCCTCTGTGGATCCGTGAAAGCAGTGTCCTGTCTTAGATGCAGCTGTAGGGTTGATTTGTCATGCTGGGACCCTCTCTAAAAGCAGAGAGGCCATGTTGTCCAATCTCCTAGTGCAGTTTTGACCTCTGAACTTGAGGAAAAAAATACCTAGGCTACTTATTGAATACAGATGGCTGGGACTAAGACAGACCTCCTGAATTTGAATTCCCAGCACAGGAATGGTATTGTGAATTTACCCTCATATAGACTAACGATCAGGCCAGGTGGGGGACACTGGTGTCAATACTGGCTCACTTTGCAGAGCTGGTTCCAGCTCCAAAACCACTTCTATTCTCTCTCGTGTTCACTGTTACTAGTACAAACTTGATACTGCAGTGGGCACTAGAACAGCATAGATAACACCAGTCCTACCTCATTGACAATCTAGAGTCTGCTGCCCTGTCTTCTATTGCACTCTGACATGTAGGCGTCTTCAGAACCAGCTGCCTTTGGTTGCAGAGTAAGTATGCCCCAATATTGCACATTGAGATCTGAATCAATCTCAGAGCAAAATCAGAATGCATGTGCCTGAACTCTCCCTGAAATATCTTCTTCTTTTTCTTCTGTGAAGACACTGCCACATAGTCATGGTATCGATCTGCTTTGCTATAGCTCTACCTGTATCTCTGCCTTTAATATTTCATTTTTACCTTTCTTCCATCTCTTTTATAAGATACTCAAACAGTGACTACTGAATTATGGCTGTGATCTTTTACAACCTAATTAAAAATAACTGTAAGGTTGGTGCTATGTGAGGTAATTTTATTGAACATATTTTATAATGAATTATCTTATCAATAGAGTCATATCATTATTCAGTCCAATTACAAAATATAATTACTGGCATAATCAAGATTGTTTACTGCTTTTTAATACTCTGAGTTTGAAATTTCATTTTAACTTGATAATTATCCTCAATCCTTTACTTTTAAATTATTTGCCTTTTATTTGTGTCTAAATTATATTTTTTTGGTTGATTCATGAACATCAGATATTTAATTAAGAAATAAAATTTCCAAATTGGATAGATGGCTCCATGGTTAAGAGCACTGGCTGCTCTTGCAGAAGACCTAGGTTTGAATGCCAGCACCCACATGGCAGGCTAACAACCAGTTCCAGGGAATCCAGTTCCAGAGGATCTGAGACCTTCCTCTGTCCTCTGCAGGCATTCCATGACACAGGTGTACTTACCTACATGCAGGCATAACACGTGTACACATAAAATAAGATAAATAATTTTTAAGAATTAAAAAAGAAACAAAGTTTCCACAGAAACCTTTAGATGAGAAGTTCATTTTTCCTAATTAAATAAGATTAGAAAGAAGATAAGAGAAGTAGAATATAATTGATAACTATCAATTATAGTTGAAGATATGACTATCCTCAAGTCATATCACTGTACCTTCCACATGCTTAACAAGATGATAATTTACAGTTAATATTGTAGTAGAATATTTTAGTTGCATTTAAGTTTGAACATGTTAAAAGGCCTGCAAATTATTAGGCATCGAGCCTCTTAAGAGGAAGGAGCACGTAATCTACTAGCTTTCGTTCTGGAAAAAAAAAAAAAAGTAAGACTGAAAAAG